GGATAGACTGAGTGTATGAAGACAGGAACTGTCATAGCCATTTGGTCATAGCCAGCTGTCCCAGGTGAGGATGGAGACACGCATTCACAAGGACCATGTACGTGCCTGCAATCCGCCAGCACTGGGCTGGTTCTTAAACATGATACTTCACTTACACTGCAGAGGGTTGCTCTGAAGCAGAGGTCAGCCAGCCTTGCCTACAAAGGGCCAGACGGTAAATAATTTAGGCTTTTCTGGCCTTCAGACATATTATGTAGATACTTGCATAACAAAATTTTTTATCAAAGTCAAAATGTAACAATAATGAAGTACGCATTATTTGCAATGGAAGTCTACTAAAGAAAAGAATGAAATTCGTTTTGGGGTAGGAGATAGTTTGCTAAATTGGGCTTCAAAACTAGTGTTTGTGGTATGGTTTGAATGTTTTTGTCCCCTCCAAAATTCATGTTGGAACTTAATCTGCAGTGCAACAGGATTAAGAGGCATGGCCTCTGGGAGGTGATCAGCTCACAAAAGCTCTGCCCTCGTGAATAAGGGTAGGTGTCCTTACAAAAGGGCTCAATGCAGGAACTTCACAGTCCTCTCTTTTGCCCCTGTGTCCCTTGCACCACGTGAGGACACAGTGTCCCTCCTCTCCAGAGGATGCATCAACAAGGCGCCCTCTTAGAAGCAGAGACCAGACTCTAAGCAGACACCACCGAAGCTGCCTTGGTTTTAGACTCCAGGTTCCGGAACTGTGAGAAACAAATTTCTGTTCTTTCTAAAGTACCTAGCCTCAGGTTATTTTGTTATAGCAGCACACACAGACGAAGACAGCCTGCTGTTGTCAAGTCAATTTCAAATATCCATCTGCTGTAAACCATTCTCCCTGGAGAAACGGACGCTGACTGACGGGGAGGCTGAGGCAGGAACGCACAAGATGGGCCTGGAGCGTCTCAGGGTGCCAGAAAGCAAGGAAGTGCTAAAACGCACAGAGACACACACAGTGACAGGGCGTGCCAAAGGGACGCAGGTGCCCACTGGAAGAGCCCTCAATGGCCAGAGATGAAGGATTTAGAGCAACAAAATAAATTGTAAAAGTATTAGATTATACTCTAAAGTATAAAATAAGCATCCATGAGCCCACACTAGTATAAATAAATTATTGGATAAATAAATGAGAGAGAATAAACAAATCTCTCATGCAGAAATCCAAATAACTTATGTAGATACTTTGTCCTTAAGGAGGTGAAGCATAATTCCCTCTTCTTCAGTGTGGCCTGCACACAGTGACTTCCTTCCAACGATTACAGTACGGAGAGAGGGAGAAAAAGAGTAATTTTATAGTGGAGAAGTCCGACAAACAGGACTTCAGCCAAACGACCCAGGTCAACGTCAACAGTGATGAGTCGTGTTACTATGTGATGAAAAGGGCGCTTTATCTCTGCGGTTTTCCTCCCCAAAAACCTATAACCACAGTCTGATCTTGAGTAAAACATCGTAAAAATCTATACAGGGGAACGTCCTACAAAATATTTAGTCAGCCTCCTCGAAGTCGTCAAAAACAAGGAAAGTCAGAAATCATCGCAGCCAAGAGCTGCCTAAGGAGAGGTGACGACTAAATGCCATGTGGTCTCCTGAATGGAATCCCGGAACGAAAAAGGACATTAGGTTAAAAAATAAGGAAATACGAGCTGAGTATGGACTTTAGTTAATAAGGTACAATATTTTTTCATTAACTGTGACAAATGTGCTATACTAATGTAATAAGACATTAATAAGAAAAACTGGATGTGGGGTCTATATGGGAACTCTATAATCTTCAAAACTTTTCTATCAAAATATATTTTTCAATAAAAGCCTTATTAAAAATGAATGCACTTACAGCCCTGAGTAAAGCATTATAAAAGCTATCCATGTAACAAGAACATTTGTAAGCCCCTTAATATTTTGAAACTAAAAAAAATAAAGAAAAAATTAAGGCGCATGTGCACACACAATCGCTCTTAGTTTAATGTTGTACAAAAACAAGCTTTGGGTCTCGTATCTTGGCCTATGGGCCATTGTTTACCAATCCCTCCTCTAAATTAGCTACTTCCATTCTCATTTTGTAGCTGAAAAAAAAAAAACTGAGGTCAAGGACTCATTCTAATCATAGCAGAGTTAATCAACCCTTGTTATAAATAATGCCACAGTCTACGTTCTTTCTGTGGTGGCGTAATAAAATTCTTCTTTCTCCTGCTCAGAAACATTTGATGATTCTCCACTGATATTTTTAGGAAGTCCCAGTGGATTTCCTCAAAGGTCCACTGACCAAGACTGATCCACAGTCTCACCCCTAAAAGCAACGCAGGCTGGGAAAGGTGACAGCTACATTTTCAGCTGCATTTTCAGGTCTATGGTGCATGAGAAGAAGGATCAAGAAGCGCTTGTGGTGGAGACACCCATTGGTGTCTGCCAGGCTTGCAGTGAGTGGTTTCCTAAAACTCGATAGTTATTAAATGTGTATCTTTCTGTCCTAAGGTTTTTTTTTATGTCTGCCCCTATAAGTAAACTAAAAAAACACTTTAACAGTAAAAATTGTGACTTAAACTTATTTATATCTGAAAAGTTTTGTTATTTTTTTTTTAACTTGACCTACAACATTGTTTGGGGAGAGATCAGATCAGACTCCCAGATGCCTCTCAGTTCTCAGGAAAATCACAGCCAAGCTAAATTGTTCAAAAAAAAAAAAAGAAAAGAAAAGAAATTATAGCCCTGTGAAATGAAGCAGAAACCTACACTAGGGTGGAACCAGTAAGTGCTAGGGTCAGGGGTGGTGGTCCAAAGCCAGGGGTTCCAAGCCTCATTGTGCTACATGGAGACTTTGGTATGTATGTCAAAGAAACCAATTCCCAACTGTCAAAACTACTTGGAAATACCTTGTCTGTGTGCGCCATTTCCTTGCAAGAAGGAAGAGCTCTGAAAAAAAAAAAAAACAAACTCCCGCATGAGCTGGAGGCAGGGCTGTACCGTTTCTAGACTGGCAGGAATCCCTGCTATCTCATGCAGTTGCTTTTGTCTGGTAAAGATCCACATATTAGAACAGGACGAATTCCAACCCTACTAAGTTATGAGACCACCATTAGAGTCCATCAGTTCAAGAAGTCCTGCACGGCAGTTAATTCTTGCTTATCAAGCACTTTTGTCCCAGAGGGTGCAAAGTAACAGCCTAAACAAGGTGCAGAGTATTTGACACTCAGAGGACGTGCTCCAAGCTCTGGGAGACTATTGGCACAGTCACAGTGTGCTAACTGCAGATCACTCACCAACCACCAAAGCGAGGGCACTGAACTACTGTGTGATAACGTCTGTATCTAAAACAAGGACAACAGCAACAATAGCTGACACATGCTGGACGCTTAACGAGTGCTGGCGACGGGGGCTGAGTGATTCGCACGCGTTCTGGTGTTCAGGCCTCACACACTGATCTTCCGAGGAAGGTGCTGTCATGATCCCTGTTTCCCAAATCTTGAAGCTTAGGCCTAGACAGTTACCTGCCCAAAGTTACTATCAAGTAAATGGTCAAAGCAAGATTTTAATCCACTCTGCTCCAAATGAGCTCCCCTGGAGTAGAGTGTACCTTCCCTTCTCTGCACTCCTTGAAGCCCAACTCTATACTTCTGTGTTTGGTAGATGAAGGTCTGGTTCAGCAGAAGCTACAAACCCAGGAGCCAGCATCCTTTGGTGGCTCTTGTTGCCCCATCTGCCCGACATGGACCAAGTGCTCAGTGAGACAGATCGTTATTAGTGCAGGTCCAAATGAACAAGCAAACGTGCTCGGTCACCACTCTCGGACTGCCAGAAGGCTCTGCCCAAAATCTTCATTAGTAGGCTCCATTAATTTGCTTTAAAAAGACAACTTGTAACTCATAAAAGACTGTTTAGTTTTTCAAATGAATTTTTTAAGGGCCATCACCTATAATGAATTTAGGAATTTGGGAGGTTGAAAATGATTTCATAGGGTAATGATCAAAGTAGCTTCCAAATGAAGACCAACATGCATAAAAGACACAGCAGCACGGACACTGTCCTGGGGCACGTGAGGGAGTCAATGGACATACCGAGTTCAGCTCACACCAACCTTTGCAGCAGCCCTCCCCTGTCCCCGATCACGCTGTCTGTGCACCACACAACCAACACGGTCTTGTAGGGGAAGATGGGAGTAAACAAAGTCTGTTTAACTCTCTGCTATGTGTTCCCATGCATGCTTGCCCCAACCGAGTTAATATTTTGTTCTTACTTCACTTCCAAACACTTAAACTAAAAATATTAACATATTGCACTGTATCATTTAATAATCAGAGTGTGGGTGCACTGCCATGTCATTTGTAGAATTAGGAACAGATGTTTTGAGGGTAGAGAAGGAAAGAAAAGTATCTTAAATAATTCTTTTTCCTTAAAACCCTCCCTCACACCTGGTCTCGGGACTTCCTCTCGGCCTTACCAAATGTTCCCGTGCGAAGCAAATTATGCATTTTAAAAGATGACTCTGGGAATTCAGTGCAGCATTTGGACACAAAATGGAATTAAATACAGGCGTGGCTCTAAACTGCCTTCACGTTTCTAAGGCCCAAGCAGCTGTTTCCTAAGGCAATTTCATTCGATCTCTGTAGGATGGCAGCATGTCAGGTATTCCTTGAGGTGCCTGCGAGTACTGCCTACTAGAAGCATCTTCAGATTGCAACATGCTCCACACCTACACGTGCTACATTTCACTGGCAAATCCAGATGCAAAAGTTCAAGTGAGAATTCTTGTTACTTGTTCCCCACGATTCACGTCGACAAGAGCTAGGGTGAGCTCGCTGGTGACCAGGAGCTCAGGAAGGCTCCCAGTGGCAAAGGGAACAGCTCTGGCAGCCACAGAGGTATTCTCCTCGGAATGTTTAAAACATCATAAACAGTAGGATTGCTTGTTTGCCAACCAATATCAAATTCAAAACTTTCTATATAATTTTAAAAGAATGACAGAGACGAGTGCATCCTTGACTTGATAACATTTATTCAATATTCTTTGAAATTAGCAAGAATCGGAAGAAGCACAGATCAATCAAATACAGCCACAAAAATGTCCTGGATATAAATAAAGATGCACTATGAGAAATACTCACTACTGAAGGAGCCGGTACTCTCTTACGTTTACTACCTCCTAGCAACAAACAACTCAAATGCAAATTTACTCACGATACAAAAACCTTGACTTCTTAAAGAAAAATACAGATTCAAATCGATCATATTTCACCCTCCCTAGGCCCTTTCTTGATGCATGTTTTCCAGGCCTAGTTCGACGACTGTTACAAAAATGACAAAAACAAAATCAAACGAGTGTGTCCGCAAAGTTCCACAGAACAATGCAGAAAGAAGTTACTTACCCATGCACAGAATAAGGCAAAGGCTAATTTCATTCGTGTTAGGAATAATAAATTTAACTAGTTTCTTTTTCACAAAACAAACATTTCAGACTTCTTTTTAAGTAACGGGTATACTGTATTATGCATCATACTCTACTTTACATGTTTTTCCTAACTCTACTCAGAAAGCCAGCACGTACATGTCAAATAGAAACTTCTCCTTGATTAGACTTATTCTGTAACAACCGCAGAAATGAATCTGGGTTTTGTGATAGTGTCTACCACGGAAAGAGCACACACTAGTGGAAGCATACAGTGTACGGAGCTGAAAGTACATTAAAACGGAGTCTATGGATTGCACAAATTCTGTGTTTAAAATATTTTTTCCAAACTAAAAGCTGCAGAAAATTAGTTCTTAAATAGTCTACCGAAAACTCTTGAGCAGCTAACATTTTAAATTTCTTAAGCTTTTTAATTTCTTAAAAATATTTCAACGAGTGTAGTACCTCATCTTTTTGAAAAATAACCCCAAAAAAGATTACAAATCTTTTGTTTTAATCAGCGTGACCAAGGGTTTGTCGTCAGGACTGTAGTCCTCATAGGCGATGGGGCTCACATCGTACATCGCGGGCCGGGATTTCTTTCCAAACCTGAAATCACAGACGGAGAGGACTTTGGTTAGATAAATATTGGATCTCAATCCTATAAAGGCGAGTGGCAATAATATTTTACATTCATGAGTCAAATGGAGCTATACAAATGCTGTAAAAAGTATATTTTCTACCAAGTACAGAAATGTAAGACATCCTGATATTAACAGTTGAATGTGTATGAACATTATTAGTCTTCTGTGCAGGAGGCAAAAAAAAAAAACAAAAAAAAATGGATTTTGCAAAACGTAGAGCCCAAATTAATGTCAAAGCTTCTAGGTTAAATCCCGGCAAAGCAGTCAAGCATGACAGTTCTACAATAGGTTTTAAGAAAATGGGTATCGATTTGTCTTTTTCCTTCTGAGACCCATAAATATTTGAAGAGGCAAGTTTATTTTATATCCACCCAAGTGCGGTCTTCCCGGGCTCTCCTGTGGGATTTTCAGGGACAAGCGGTGAAGACTCAGAGTTCACCTGAGATCCCAACACAAGAAGGGCAGAGGGAGGAAACAACTGCGGGTACAAAGGTATCCGTCCACAAACTATGGCCTCACCACCAAGGAACCCCACCCACTTATTACCTCCTAACCCCAGGCGCACACAAGCCAGCGTTTTTCCCCAAGCGCAAAGCCACGATCCCAACAGATTTGTGTATCTCAAAATTGCCTGGACAGCAGGACTGACTCCCAGAACCAGGGGAATCAAAATCCAATTTCAGGACTTCCTGCCAAACCAGTCTTAAGATGGCAATTATTAAAATAAAGCCAATTCAACTTCTGGGTGGTCTCTTCTCATTCATGACCTCACCTTCCCCAAAACCCCAGGAGTGCAACATGATTCAAACAAACTTCCACCCTCCCCACCATCCTCCTTTGCAGAGACAACATTTTTTAGCTGTTTCGAGTCCAATAGGGCTCTTTAAAAAGGCATATTTAAAAAACCCTAAATTTTAGAAGGGTTCCTAGGAGGGGGCCCCTCAGAATGAAAGGAGCTTATTTATTATGGTTCCTGTCCCATTTCTCCTCTTTTCCTATTTTTTTTTTCCTTTGATATCTTTTGAAAAGTCTGTCTGCTCATGTACAGAGATGGGAAGTAGAATTGAGTGGGAAATGAGAAAACAGTACACTCTTCATTCGATCTTTTATTTTTAAATAGCCATCCATCTTGTGTTCCTATTCACTCAAGTTTTGCTGGCTTTTGAGAGCACAAGGGCGAAAGCCATGCCAGACAGAATGCGGGATTAGAGTTAAAGTGTTCTGCCCCCAAGAAACCCACAGCCATCACTGCCATGACACCAAAGCCTTCAGTAAAAGGGTTTCTATCATGAGGCCTCACTAAAGGTCCAGCCTTGTGCTTGCACGGATGGGGGTCCCTCATCTGCAGGGCTCCCCCCTGCAGCAAACTGGTATTAACTGATCAACACCCAAGTGGACATATAGGAATAACATTTATCGGGTGTCGGACAGGTAGGAGCAGGGAGGAGGGGATAGGTATAAATATTATTTATATATATATATATATAATGAGTGCAAGGTGCACCATCTGGGGGATGGTCATGCTTAAAGCTCTGACTCGAGAAGGGGGGGCAAGGGCAATATATGTAACCTTAACATTTGTACCCCCATAATATGCTGAAATAAAAATAAATAAATAAATAGTCTGAGGCCTGCATAATCTGAGAACAGGGAAAGTGTCAACAGGATAATAGCCCATTGGGTCTTACACTTTCTCCCAAGTCCGAAAATTTCCAAGGCTACTTTCAGATGCAAATCCGTTGATAATTTATGTCTCATAAAATAGCTAGAGACATTGGTAATAACATATCGGTAATAATAATTTAACAAGAACTCCAGCAACCCAGTGGAAGCTCTCTCCATAGCCTCACACGGCAGGATAAGAAGGACGGTATCCTGTGGGAACTTGGACTTCAGGGCCAGTGAATACTAATTAATTGATTAAGTAATCAAGTGGTTGGCTGAGAGGAAAAGCCCAAACAACTTTATAGATTGAATGTATCTCTAAGATACTCGTGTTTAAACACGATCTCATAGTTTGAAGAAGAATCTGCTCTCTTGAAATTTAGAAAGTCAAATGCCTTCATTTTATGCAATCCATCACCAAGCTGCAGTTCAAAGAGCGGTACACTTAAACGTGGCCTCGGAGCTCGTTTGAGGATGAGTGTGGCAGATCTGTGGGGCGTGACGAGGCCAGGGCCAACTCAAGAGCCAGCCGTGTGTTCACCCGGGCCTGTTCAAAAGCAGCCCGAGGAACAGGGAGCGTCACTTTGGGCCCACACTGGTTAAGTCAGCTGTGTGGCCTGGTTCTCCCAGGATGAACTCCAAACCAGTCTGGGTCATGAAGTATAACGTTGGTTACAAAGGGAACCCGGTTAAGGTAACGTTAGCGCCCGGCTCTAGAAAAGGGAGCAGGCAAGCTTGGAGCTGGGATCCCTTCCCTTCGCCCCACTAGCTGCCAGGAACGTGGTCCAAATTCCTTAGGTGAATCGGTCTCCACCGGAAATCCAATGCCCACCACATGGAAGCTAAAACGGCTTGCTTTACAGAAACATCGTCATTTTTAAACACACAATAAAACAAAACAAGACTTTCTTGAACCTCCTACACCTCTCCCAGGGGCAGGTGCGCACTTGGGGACGAATGAATGTACATTCATACCTACGTTTAAAATACAGCAGCTTTTGATATCTCCTGTGTTTCTGAGAGTGGGGTGGATGTTATAACACACCAACAAGATAACGCCTGTAGAATTCCATTTGAAGCTCTCAGGCACTAAACCATAGGTATATTTTAATTGCAAAAAATAAAATCTAACTGGAAGCTAGAGAAAATGACAATGTGGACTAGGGGTTAGCAAACTATGGCCTGCAGGCCAGTCCCAGGCTGTTGCCTGTTTTTTGTTTTTTTTTTAAATAAAGTTTTGTAGGAACACAGTCAAGCCCACTAGCACTGTCTTTTGCCGATTTTGCACTAGGAAAGCCGAGCTGAGCAGTCACGACAGCAATTGTGTGGCCCGCAAAGTCTGAAGTATTTTGCAGACAGTAAGGATGCCTGAAGACTGTAAGGATCACCCTCGTCCCACTCTCCAAAGGAGCAGCTGTCCACGTCTGCGTGTTTCTGCAGGCTGCCCATCCCTCAGGCCCACGTCCCTTCAATTCCCTTTACCAACATGAATATGTATTGGGAGTCTCTGAAAGTGTCATATATAGAAATATTTATCACATATTTTAACAAAACTGAGACAATATTCCCCATACTGTTTTGTGACTGAATTTTTCGATCAGTATTCTGTGTGATGTTTTACTCAGACAGCATTCTTATCGAGTTAAAAAATAAAACATAGGAGCTTAAAAAAATTAATTTAAAAAAATGTCCTTCTGTGCCGGGTGGGGCGCTCAGTGGCTCTAGTTACACGTTCCCACCTGGGGCGGCTCACGTCCCGACAGGAGCACAGACCACGACACTCAGGAAGTGTCCTCTGAGGATCGGGGAGGGAGCTAGATTTTTAAAAGGTGGGGAAGAGTGGACACTCACTCTCTCTTGCGAGAAAAGCAGCTCAAAAGCCCTGACTTGGCGGCTCCATCCCAGCACCCCTGCACCCCCAGCTGGGCGTCAGACACTGCTCTGAGGGGTCAGCCAGCACCTCATCCCGCCGTCTCATTTTCGTAGACTGATCATCTCATCTCACTGCTATAACGCCCTTGTGACGTGAGTACGTGTCATCTTCCCCATGTTACAGAGCAGGAAATGGAGGCTTAGGGGTCATTTTCCTAATTCCACACCCCTGGCGGGAGGTGGAGCTGTCTGGCTTCCAAGCCCGGGTTCTGAGCACACCCTCGCTTCCTTCCTGCACGCGAGGACCCTGTGAACTGCAGGGCTCGCTTCCCCTGTTCCTGGCGAGAGCCCGTGGACTGCAGCAGGTAACGCCATCACCTTCACATCAGCAAACCTGCTTTCTCGTCTGCAAACTCTGCCTTTCCAATCTCACGTATAAACCCTGGCTTTCTCACTTACAAACTCTGTGGCCCCTGTGTACATTGCATTATCTTGCTAAGCCCACATTCCTTTCACCTGTAATAGGGGACTAACGACACACGGGCCTTAGGATTCTTGTGAGATTCTTGCAAATGAATTATTTGTGAACCATTTAGCGCAATGTCTGGCCCAGGGGACGCTCCCAGTAAACGCTGGTTGTCATAGACGCTCTAACAGAAGTCGTAGCACCAGTAGTGTCAACAGCACTGACATCTCAAACATCATACTTGGTGACGTCTTGTGTGCCTGTTTTTCTAAAGAAACAAAAGATGCTGCAACCAGTTATAAGGCAGATAAAAGAGCGTATGTTCTAGTTCATAGCCCCGTGAAAGCCAATCGCTGAAACAACACCGCAGAGAATGTCAGATACTGAGAAAGGCCAAAAATTGTAAGGTTTTGAGCTATTTTGGAAGAAGTAAACATGTCTTTCCAGGGCTCTCCTTTTTCTGTTTCCTGTGATCAGGCACTTCCAGCTGGTAGGGCAGTGAGCGATCAGCACTGAGACGTGACCTCAGCGTGAGAACTTGGGGAGTGTGGCTTTGCTGCCCCGCCCCTGGGTCACACACTCTGTCCTGCCTGAGTAGAAGCAAAGCGAGCTGAGGAACAGGTGGCTCCTGGGAGGAGAAAGGGAGGAGGGCTCCTCTCACCCCGGCCCCAGCACCACCTGACTGCGGACAGCAGAATCACCAGACATTTCCTCAGTCTCGCTTGTGAATGTCACAGGTCACACACTCAGTTTGTGTCCTGAGTGGCCACTGGGCTGCACTCACTCTGATCCAATGTCACCTCCTGGCATGTGGCAGGGGGACAGCCCGTGAAATGGACATTAAAGCTACTGAGAGCCAGGGAGAGGATAACATCCAAAGGCCTGGGATTTCGCAATACCTTCCTAGGGTTTCCAGCCAGAGCCAGCCCTGGCCTCCACGCAGCCACGCTGCAGAAACCACGGGCTGAATATGTGTTCAACAGGAGAAGCTTTCCCGGATTCCAGATATTTGGGAAGATACTGTTTTAATCAATAGTTTTATCTGTCGTCACTGATGCGTGTAGGAACTTGTTAGAAATTCCACAGTAAATATTTTTGATAAAAATCAGCACCAAATAAGAACCAGGTTTGTAAATGCTTTCAAGTTTATTCTTTCCATCCAAGGGGATTGAGTTGAATATCTTCCCAGTGGGCTGAATGAGCAGAAGGCTCAGAGGAATCTATGCTAAAACCATTCTGGGACTGAAATAAAATAAACCTCCTCTTGAGCCATGAAGGATCTTGGCCACGTGTGCCTATGGGCACAGGGGAATCTGATTTCTTGGACCCCCAAGTGCATGAAAGTATAAAGCCATGGCCACTGCTCCCTCCTGGTGAACTAAGCCCCTCCAGGAACAAAGAAGAGAGAAGACTGCTGAGCACCAAAGCAGCTTTTCGATTCTCTGCTCCTTTTTACGCTCTCTCCTTCTGGTCCAGTAACTTCAGGATACTACGAATATTCCTGCAGCGTGGGGTCACTTACTGAGCTGGTACCCTGGGATGGATCTACTGCTCCAGCAGGTCATGGCATCCTGTGCCAGCCCCTAACTGATATCACCCATTTATTTCAGACCTCAAATTTGAATGAGGTCTGCTATGTGCCAGGACCCACTGGAGACACAGCAATAAAAACCACTGCCCTTTATGTATGGGGCAGTAAAAAGACAAATAAACAGTTAAAATGGGGCTTGCAGGGGCTGGTACTCAGGCTTCCTGGGTGCTGTGTTGCCTGAGTTACAAGGAAGGAGCCGGGTTGGGAGGGTTGAGCTCTCTGCTCCTTCCCAGTTGCCTAAGGAAGGCTGAGTGCAGCTCCCTCCTGGGCAGCTGCTCCAGGTCTCCCAAGTTCTCTCTCCCCTCAGCTCTCCCTCCTGGAGGCTGAGTTTTGGCTTCTGCTTCTACTGGAGTGGCAAGACCACTGTAAGATCTGAGACTTGGCTTTGGAGGCTTTCTTTGGAGAAAGCAAACTTTTTGAACCTCTTAGCTTCTCTGCCATTCAGATAAAATTTTAGTCTTCTCATGTGTTGACCAACAGTAACATCTGACATCTCAGCAAAGATCAGACAGAGAACAGTTGCCCGGGGCCCTGATCCTAAAACACCAAGCCCAGCCCACTTTCGACGACAGCACACTGACTCTCTGAATTGCGTGCTTTAGATTATTCTATCAATTAAAAGAAAAGATGACTTGCTTCAAAAAACGATATTGCTATTATTTTTGGATTAAATACTCTTTGCAAAAGTCAGTAAAAAGAATGTTATATTAGCTAATTTTTAGTGTTGTATATTAGATTTGGAGAAGTAAATACAGTATTATCTGTTTACACACCCATTCATATTTGTAATTTAATATGACTGTCATAACTCTCTAAGGAGGTAGAGTTATCCCTTTTCACAGCTGAAGAAATTGTATTTATGGAAAGTTAAATGATCTGTCTAGACTATAGTGTCAGGCAATGGACTAGTTAAGGCTCAATGTTACATCTCAAGCACCAGAACTTGTGCTCTTTCTGTGTTTCCACACTAACCCCTTGTCCCTCTACGAGTCCTCCCTCCAGACAGGGACACTGCTTCATATAATACGAGCTCTAGAAGTGGAAAGATAGCCGTTTATCATTCCTTTAGTAAGCCCTTAAATTGTATTATTTGTATCCATGTTGACTATCTGAAGAGCAACACAGCAAAAGACAGTCTGAAAAGAAATCATCAAAAAGTGTTTCAATATCCAGTGATAAGGATATTTATAGTCACAGACCAACAAAAAATTCAATGAATGGCTGTATTCAATGTAAGCAAAACAAAACCAAAAGCTTGCAGCAAATTAAGAGGGGTTTGATTATAAAGTGGCTGAATGATCTGCCCCCTGTACTTTGTTGCACCTATGTTTCCGTCTTTATTTATTTATTTATTTTGGAGACAGAGTCTCGCTTTGTTGCCCAGGTGAGAGTGAGTGCCGTGGCATCAGCCTAGCTCACAGCAACCTCAATCTCCTGGGCTCAAGCGATCCTGCTGCCTCAGCCTCCCGAGTAGCTGGGACTACAGGCATGCGCCACCATGCCCAGCTCATTTTTTTTTCTATATATATGTTAGTTGGCCAATTAATTTCTTTCTATTTATAGTAGAGACAGGGTCTCACTCTTGCTCAGGCCGGTCTCAAACTCCTGACCTCGAGCGATCCGCCCACCTTGGCCTCCCAGAGTGCTAGGATTACAGGCGTGAGCCACCACGCCCGGCCTTATGTTTTCATCTTTAAAATCCTCCCTAGGCAGATGAAAAGTCCTGCTCATCACACGACCGCGGCTCCAAGAACGTACATGTGAAAGCATGCACGTTCCCCCTCCCCCACGGCCACCCCCAGCAGCACGCACCTGGCGTGCCGGATGGACGCGATGGCATTGCTGAACTCGCTGTCGATGCTGCGGCAGTTGTAGAACTCCTCGTAGGCCGGCCTGGCGGAGCCCTGGTACTCGATGCGGCTGATGCGGCAGATCCCCACGATCAGGATGATGAGCATGAGGATGAAGGCCACGCAGAGGGCCCCGATGATGACGTAGAGGGAGTGCCGCGGCATGTTGGTGAGGCTCTCGGCCATGTGCCCGGACTTCCACTGCAGGTCTGAGGGCGAAAACAAGCACATGCCTGGGTGTGAGCCGCACCCTTCAGAATGTGAAGGCCTTTTCTTCCTTACACCAGTAACTTAGAACTTATACCATCCAAACCGGGAAGAAGGATTATCTGCAGATAATCCAGACCTAGGGTTAGTGTCCTTAGCACATGAGCCACTCTTACAGACCGTTGAGAAAAACCAGGAGCACACCACAGAAGAAAATGGGCAAAGGGTGTAAAAGAGGAACTCATCAAGGAACACAAATAGAAAACGGTTTCGCTGCATAAGTATTCAAAAAATGCAATTCCTTTACCAGCTCCCAAATCATATTTTAAAATTATGACTCTGAGAATCAGGGTCGGCTATTGTTTGCCTTGAAAAGTTGCACTTGGAAGAAGAGCGCAGGTAGATGCCCCAACAAGGGGCCAGGCCTGCAGACCGGTCTCCTAGAACCCTACCAGAACGACGCCCCATGAGCCCACCCTGAGAATTTGAGAAGAATGTGTGAATGAAGTGACTTCTAAGTTTGTGTCCAGCCCTCCTGGGTGTTTTACCGAGGCCTCTGAAGCCTGTTGTCACTCAAGTCTTCCTGCCTGAGCTCATGGAGCTTCATAAGACTAACCGATCATCAGTGCATTCGCTGCTCCGTCTGCGCCAAGACCCACACGGAGGCAGACGGAGCACCGTAAATCGTCGCAGATAAACGGTTGCGATGGGAGGGAGAAGGAACTTTCTGAAACCAGAGCCCGGGCCCAATCCCCAAACCCGCAGCCATTTCACTTGGCAATACCTGGTGCACACTGAGAGAGACGATTCATTTTTTTCTGGCTGAAAAAGCAAGCGTGATTTACTTGACTTCCAAGTATGATAACATTCTCTAAAAAATTCAGTTGCAGGCTGGAGTCCAACGCTCAGCAGAGGATGTTGTAACACCCCGTTAGCATCAACTCAGGGCAGCCAGTGCTGTGTTTCTGCTCCAGCTCGGTAGAGTGCTCAGATCTGATCACGACGGAGGGTCACATGAGTCCTCGCTGAGTTCTTGAGGGCTGTGCATAAACTCCGCAGAAATAACCTACACGTCATAGCGACCGCGTGTGTGCAGTGAGTGAGTGCACTGCCACCTGGCCACCGCGGTGAAAAACAACCGCACCGGGTTATGCGTTCAGCACCACGTCCCAGGCCGGACTGCTTGAATTTCTGACCATCTGCTCCATTTCCCAAAACTCTGTGTTCCAAGCTATTTGGACTGGGGGAAACCTTTCTCAAAATTTCTCCTAAAACCTCCTCCTTCCACCCCCTGCCCCTTTCTTTAAAGCTAGAGTCCACCTACTGTCACCTAGAACTTTTCTGCTAGAAGGGACGGTGGCTGCTTTACAGGCTAATTGGCTTGGTAGCCGGGATGGATCTTAATAAACCCAACACTAGGTCTGAGAGGCGGCAAATTTATCTGCACCAGGTGGTTGCGACTGCCGTCTCCCAGGCCAGGCGCTATCCTCATAAGTCATCGATTTGCTGCGTCCCGGGAGTCCCCTCGCGAGAATCATTTGCTGCATTGGCTACAGCATGGCCTGCGGGAGAATCATGAACCAGAAAGTGCCAGATGGGTTGATCTCATCAGCCTCAGCAGGTGCATGACCAGGAACGCGTGCACTCGAGCTGTTCGAGAAAAATGTCACATTGGTGGGTCTGGGGGATCGTTTGCATTTTTATTTCAGCTAAATTTGTTTTGAGGTTTTGTATTTTCCAAAGTGCCTTTGCATTTAACATTTCAGTTGGCCCTAAACAATCGCCTTGAGCTAGGTAGAGGTGCGAGACTTGGAGCGGCTGCTCAAGGTGGAGCAGGCAGTCAGGGGCCAAGCTGAGAATAAAACCAGATCCACCAATGACTTCCACTATGCCAAAAATAGACTCCAGTTATTTACATATTTATTCTAAAAGACATTGCTCATATCTAGTTTTTAATTCACCTAGGTGAACACAGCTAGACTAGTTAAGTTGCCCACTTGTGTGATTTAAAAAGAGAGTGAAAGTGAGGGTGAGGCAGTCTTGTGAAGGTGTCACCTAGACAGCTCAGTAAGTTTCGAGACCACCTGCCACCTGGGGCAAGGAAGGAGGAGGGATTTCAAATGACTTTGTGTTTCTATAGCTCAGGTGAGCAGGACAATCCAAGCAGTCCATGAGATTGAAACAAATCTGACAACCCTTGTCAATCTTCAGAAGAGGAATGAATGGGAAAAGGGAATGAAAGGAAGAGATCATCTCCTTCATAAGGATGCGTTCACTGAGCACATGCATTGAGCACCTACTGTTTAACACCACCAGGCACGGTGCCTAGTGCCAGGGAAACAAAGTGAGGGAAATGGAGAGAAAAGTGGGCTCAGGGCAGCCTAGGTCTTTTGAGGGATACAGGGATCAAACAAATGACCACAAAATAAATGTACAGGTATAATGGTGGACAAGCTCTGCAGTGCAGCCAGAAAGGATGGGGATGCCCCATCTAAAGGAGGGGCGTGGTGACTCACGCCTGTAATCCTAGCACTCTGGGAGGCCAAGGCAGGAGGATCCCTCAAGGTCAGGAGTTTGAAACCAGCCTGAGCAAAAGCGAGACGCCGTCTCTATTAAAAATAGAAAGAAATTAGTTGGCCAACTAAAAACATATAGAAAAAATTAGCCGGGCATGGTGGCGCATGCCTGTAGTTCCAGCTACTCAGGAGGCTGAGGCAGGAGGATCGCCTGAACTCAGGCGTTGGAGGTTGCTGTGAGCTAGGCTGACGCCAGGGCACTCTAGCCCGGGCCACAGAGTGAGACTCTGTCTCAAATAAATAAATAAAAGGGCACTAAGGGAGATTTCACAACAGGAGTCCCAGGGAGCTGGGCTCTAGGAGTGAGTGGGCACCAACCAGGGACCAAGAAGAGCAGAGGGAAGACTGTTCCAGGCACAGGACCAGAATAAGCACAGGCCTGGCGGAGGGCGGGGAGAGCAGCAGGAGGGCTGGGAGGAGGACAGAGAGCGGCAGAGAGGGGCCCCGGCAGGGAGGACGTGCCGCCCTGCAGGATAGGGTGGCCACACAGGCCGAGGAGACAACAGTGTGGCCTGGGGTCCTCAGTCATTTGGGCTTTAATAGGAGCTTGGCGCAGTAGGGATGGAAACAGTCGGGAGTCCAGGTGTTCCACTGACACTTTGAAAAGATCCTCTTGGCTGCGTGTGAAGAAAGAATTTGAGGAGTAAGGAAAGAAGCCAGTTCAGAGGCCACTGCAGGACGGGGCAGAGTTGGTGGTGGCTTGGCCTGGGGTGGTGGGGGGGACAGGAAGGGGGATGGATGTGAGTGCTGTGTTAGAAGTGGGAGTCAATGGGACTAAACGCAGCAATGAGGGGAGAGAAAGGGGGCCCCTGACTCTCAATTTCCTGGCTTGTGTCGCTGGATGGATGAGGTGTGGTGCCATAGCTGAGCCACACACCCAGGTTGGAGTGGAAGATCCTGCGGTTTGGTTTTATACACCTTAAATTGGAGGCTCCTTTAAGACGCCCAAGTGGTGATGTCACATAGTTGTATTTGGACGTCCGGCTCATTATTTTGGTTAATAAGAGCTGACTCGTATGGAGAGCTCAGTATGTGCTCGATTCGAATTGTTTTAGGTGTTAACTCACTTATTCCTCCTATAATGCAATGAGGTAGAAACTGTTATCTTCTCCATTGTATTAATATATAGGAATCAACCGAGACTCTGAGAGGGCAGTTCCTTGCCCAGGGTGACGCACATAATGAGTGGTGGCACCTCTGGTGCTAAAGCCACGTACTTCAATTAGTAAGCAATGTTTATCAAATTCAGATTGTAGAAATCAATGCAGTGGGGCCAGCCTCCCATTAAAAAGCAATTAAAAAAACTGTATCAGAGTGTCTCACATTTGTAAACGTGTTACTTTATGTTGTGTGTGTGTGTGTGTGTGTGCATGTTAGTCTGTGTTATGTGCAGCATCAAGATGTAAAACATGTTTCTTAATGTGGGACGCAGTCAGTCACAGGCCTGAAAACCATTTCCCTGTGCTATGCAGCCCGCAGTACTCTTCGGGCAGGGAAGGTGGAAAGATTCTCCTCACAGGATATCTTCATCCACTTGAGAATGAAATGTCCAGGTCTAATTATATCAATAAAAACTACCTAATTATATAATGCCTGTTACCCCAAAATATTCTGTTTTTATAAAAAAATTAACTCAAAAGCATCTCATTTATCACTATTCCATCAGGTACAGAGAAATGACATTTTGAGCTGGCACCCACAGTCTTCTAGTTGTTTAAAGCGGATGACAGCTAAGAATGAGGCAACCATTTGCTCAGCACCTACTGTTTACCAAGTGCAGGAATGTACCTGCAGGCAGACAGAGAGTATTGCTCACCCATCTTCAGCAAGGAAAGTTGGTTCTAAGGCCACTCTGCACGAGAGCATTTGGGAAGGTTGAAGGGGAGGCCTAGCAGTGATCACCCTCTTCCTTCTCAGGTTATGAGCCAACAGGAAAGACGAAGAGTGAGTAGATAAGAGGCCAAATAGAATCTTCATTGTTGGTCAAGTTGATGTTGGAGAATATTGGTCCACACTTGGAAAAGAGAGGTTGCCAATACTGGCCGTCCTCCACCTGAGACAGGCACTGAGAATTAGACCACCCTGTCCGGCCACAGGCAGCGCTGGGCCCCTTCCCAGGGCCTGATCTTGTAACACTGCATGGACAAGCAGAGACAGCAACAGGTCAGCCCAAGAAGGAGACAGACAGACAGACAGACAGGCAGGCAGGCAGGCAGGCAGACAAGTAGGCAGGGTTGTATATACTGATTTGCTTCCTTCCAAGCTCCCAGCAGATAACTCATCCTTATCGGTCAAGGGGCAAAGGAGCGGGTAAGAGGGCACAAGAGGAACCTCTTACGAAAGCTTCCCACGAAAAGCAGCAGTCTGGGGTGGGGAAGAAGCATTGGATTTCTTCTGCTGTGAAAAATCAAACTGCCCTGCCTAATTTAAATAAGAAAAAAAAAAAAAAAAAAAAAACACCTTTCACAATTGAATCTTAAACAGTTTCCAAAACATCTGAAAACCCAATTCCACATCAGTTCTCGTTTTCACTTCAATCCTAGTAGATCCACTGTTTTAGTAATATAAAATCTTGATTATGACATTTTCAAACCTCTGTTAGTTCACCATAGGAGAACGCTTAGCTTTAAGCAGCCCAAAATGTTTTTCAGCTTTTCTTTTAAGCTTGTCCTCGCTGGACTTTTCTCCAGGCAATCGATGGAACCTGATACATTTGAAGGGACTCAAAGACATACGTGAAAAGTGAATTTACATTCTCTGTGTTTTTTTCTTTTTTGATATGATTCTAATGCTTCTCTGTTAAGCACATTTTTGGCTGCACGGGTAGCAGTGAACTCTGGATGACATCTGAAAATCCTCATCCTGGTGGACAGGCCGACTCAGACTCAGGCAAGCACACTAAACTGGGTAGGAAGTAAACTGAGGCATGGGTAGCCCAGGGTGTCCCTCTTGGGCCTCCCTGCCTCATCTGCCAGTGCCCAGGGGGCTTTGTGGTCACAGTCGACGTCCTCTTCTTGCTGGAGGAAAATGCGACGTTAAACACTGCCGGCTGAGCTGCGGAAATACTTACGGATCTCACAGTTTGCTCCCACCCAGCCGTGCGGGCAGTGGCAAGTGTAACCGTTGGGCTGGTCCAGGCAGGTCCCGGCGTGATGGCAGGGGTTGCTGTCACATTCATTTATGTCGACGTCACACTCTTCGCCTAGTGAGACAAGGAAAAGCCTCGGTGAAGCCGCCGCGCCCAAGGTTCCCATCATTTCTCTGGCAAAACAAAGATCTGAGGCTGGGGTTCGTGACCTCCAGCGATGCAGCCCAAACTGCTGTTTGTACAAAGTGCAGAACTCTCAGAAAATTCAAGACAGGGGATTATTTTACTTTAGTGCAACTAAAAAAGAAAAAAAAATAGCAGTGGCGAAAAGAATCCCACTTTTAGTCTATTTAACTAGTTGTCCGAAGCTACTTATCATGTCAGAACAAACCTTTCCAGGTTGATCAGAAGAGAGAACTTGGGTTTCTGATTTTATTAAAGAAATCTATTCTATCTTGCATTTCATCAGCTGACTCTTGTTATTTATTTTTCTGAAACTGCAGAAAGCTGAAAAGTCATAGCTTATGATTATTCTGTAGCCAAGTGTTTGAGACTAGACATTTGACTCTTTTCTGGATAGTTCTAGGACATAGCCGTGTGCCTAGACTGAGTCAATCGTGAAAATTGACTCCACTTTCCAAATGCTTGGGTATGCTTCTGGCTGGGCGGGGAGTGGACCTGAAACGCTCAGAAAGTGCATCAGTTCCGCCTATGGGGAGAAGTCGTGAGTCCTGGAGTTAGCCTAGATCATCTGACCACCCCTTCCCTGGGGAACCCGAAGGAAGCTCACATTGCTCAGTCCGTCCTTTCATAAGGAAGAATGTGACCTTGACCTATTTTCCCTGCCTAGACCCAACTTTTCAGGACATCTTTGCCTGCCTCAGAGGAACCTGGTATAAAGTTACAAACCAGACCCATGTCACTGTGATCCAAACACCAACTTACAGGAAAAAGGCTGTTATCAAAAGTTACATGAACAAAGCCATCTTCTTATGAGTTAGTACAAAATGAGTGTGCTTCTTAATTTCATAGGAATCTCATCAAAGCTGAAGAGAAAAGGGTATTTCAAACTCAAGCATTCTTGCCCCAAAATTTGAAAATGAGAAAAAGACATTTTCAAAATTAGCCCCCTTTTGCTTAAATGCAGAAAGTGATGAAAAAATAAAAATCATTGCTGTTAGTCACAGACTAAAGCAAAGGAGCAAAATCAAATATTTTGTCCATTTTTAAAAGGCAATATTTCATTGTACATTCAGGTAATTACTTCCAGGCTTACATAATTAGCATTAAATTGCTTTTCTAACTGCTATTGGTTTACTACATGTTTACAAAACTACCGTTTGTCTCTCACAAACCATTTTAGAGGAGGAATCTCACACTAAACTATTTCGTGTCTGTTTCATTTCACACTCTTTATGTACCTGGCATCTGACTATTTTATTTGTAAAGTAAAATTGGTAGAACAAAACATTTACTAGTTCTAGGTCCTACTAGGTTGATTGTAATTCAGGAGTGTCTAAGTGAGTTTGTTTCCTGCAATAAATACAGTCATTTACATCAATAGAAAAGGCATGATATTGATTGCCTCTTACATAATGTATTTCAAAGATTGTCTTTCTATTAATGGGGCAATCACTCTGAGTGGAAAAGGGCACCGACTGAACTATTACAAATGGCATTACATGGCAGACTAGTTGAAGAGACATACAAACAAAAACGTGCTAAGAAACATTGAAAGGATGAAATCGAAGACCTTGACAAATACATACATCAGTACTACTTTGCAACCATTTAGGAAGACAAGCTTAATTGAAGTATTTACTAAACAATACCTGTCTTTAGCTGGCAATCTGAACGCTGCAAATTCTGAAATGAGATGCCCTGTTACCTCTACAGTGATAGCTATAGAAATGGGCTGACTTTTCCCTACTTATACAATCTGGCAAAACTCAAATGCCCCCACTCTGCTCCGTGAAGTCCAATGTCAATGTCATGCCCACCTAAGTCTCTAAACTCTGTGCAGTCCCAGAGCTGTCAGTCCGGTCCATTCGGTTCTGCTAGGGCCCAGAGCTTCTCCAGGGAGGTGAATGCCAAATTCAGAGTCCAGAGCAGCCCTAGTACATGTATTGTATCCTGGATCACTAAAGGGCTCTAGTATACACTCAGGATAAGTCTACAATCCCCAGAATTGTCTGTTCTTAGGACCCACTGGATTGAAACGGTTTGGTAAAAATGGAGATGGCAGGGGAAAAAAACGGGATGAATTCTTACTATAGACATTTATCAAATATAGTATCTAAGATTCACATCCTAAGAACTGAGGTCCAGAGAGAGTGCCAAACCTATCCCATTCTGAATTTCATAACCATAGATGTTCTTAGAGCTGCACTGGGAATTAACTGGAATAAATTAATGATACAATGCTGGTCAGGGACCCAATTAGCTATTTCTATAGCATACATGCTCCAGCAGAACCCTGGAGTACTGCACAGTTCTCAGATACTTTAGCTTTACTCTAATGGCCTATTTTATAGACCATCACTCCTATGCATCTAGTTGAATCAGTTATTCCTCATCTGGCTGTCGGTTTGAGGCCTTGACTGTGTCCTGTGCTGGCTGAAAGCTGGAATATGGGGTGACTCTAATGAGGGAGCCATTCAAGGGAATTTTCAACCAGAAGATTCCCAAGGATAACTGCTATTCCCTGCTGTACAGTGACCATTTTTTGTACAGTACATTTTGCCATCAGTCTTATGCAAAGTATTTGAAGATTTATTGATTTATTATGAATTATGGAAACAAGTCTGGTTTCATTTATGTTTCCCCATATTAAGAGCATTGTGTTTTTATTTGCACTTCAGTATGCCAACATTCCATCTCTAATCAACGTGCATTTTAACTTATTTTATTAGGAGAGTTTTTAGTATAATCTTTCTCTACTAATAGTTAACAAATATTTAAGCTTTTGCTGGCCTGAGCCAGTTGACTTTTTAGTTGACTTGCTTACTCCTTTTTAATTTGAGTTAGAAAAAAACAAATCAATTATTCTGAAATCACTGTGGCTCTTGAATCACATTTGTGAAGAGAATATAAAATGAAATTTCTACTTCACTGGGGTTTGCAATCACTAGGGTCTTAACTTTAAATATTTTATAATTTCTTTAATACACTACTTTCTAGGAGGCAATATGTATAGTAGATATCACATTTGGTAGTACTTATACAAATTTACAAGTACACTGATGAATTCTATATGCATTCCTCAGATAACTTAGGACATGCAAAAAGGCAAACAAACAAACAAAAAATCCAAAGTCACTGCCATTAGTAAATCCTTGGGTTAATAGAGTCCACACTAAAAGATATTGATGACAATCACCATACTAGAATATCTAGTATTACATATATGGCTCCTATGCGCCAGGCATTGATTGGGTGCTTTAACTATAACTCCTTCATACTTAACAAGGATTTTATTCCAGATGAAGTGAATCTAAAAAAAGTATTTGGAGCTTTTTCTATCATGATGGAGCAATTGGAACCTGCCTTGCCCTACCACTGTAAACAACTAGACAACTGGATGAAACATATGGGGTGGGGGGAACCACTTTTAAGACCTTAGACAACATGCAGTTCATGACTGTGATTGCTTTAAGAAGGGAAGTAAAACAGCTGAGCATGACAATCACCCTGGCTTTCTTCCTGGAGCTACTTTGGAACATGATGATTCCACTGAATTGAGGAGACAAAGACTAGAGTTTGTGGAGGCCAAGGTAGCTGTAGTTTGTAGGGAAGACTACAACACAAGATCGAGCTACTTAGAAAATGAGCACCAGAAATGTGCTGTATCCCTTGAGTTTATTGTTTAATGCTGAACGTGAAGAATTTGAAACTCCAAGAGCTTGGCCAACAAAATAATAGATAGTTCCTAAACTTACAGAGGACTGAGAAGTATTCAAAATTCTCACAAGCCAGAGTGGAGCAATTTCACTGATCACCCAGTAGATTCAGTAAAGCCACAGAAGGTCACATCTTAGTAATAGGGCATGACTATCCCTAGAGTAAAGGTTAGTCTAGACTCACCTTCCCCAAAATATAGAAGGAAACCTTAAAAACATCAATCAGGTCAACAAGTTACTTACAATCCACAAAAACATCATTCATTTTTTTTAAAAAGACAATAAAATCCAATCACCCAACAACTTAACCCACAATGATCATCATCTAAACAAAAATTATTAGACTTGCAACAAAGCAGGAACATGTGACTCATAACTACAAAAAAAATCAGTCAAAGGACACCAATCCAGAAATACCAGACAAAAGTTAATAGAGAAGAAATTTGTTCAAAATGTGAAATAAAACATAAAAACAATAAGAAAAAATGGAGGACATAAAAAAGAGTCAAATGAAACTTTCATATCTAATGAAAATATAATATCTGAAATTTTTAAAACACTCAATGATCCTAAAAGTAGATTAGACACTGCAAAAGAAAATATTAGTAAAAGTAAAAACAGAACAATAGAAGCTACACAAACTGAAATTCAGAAAGAAAAATTTTTTAAAAAACTGAACAGAGCCTTCAAGACCTGCTGGATGATTTTGAGTGGTCTAACATAGATGTAATTAGAATCCTAGGGCAAGGTGAGGCAGAAAATAATATTTGATAAAATAAGGGCTAAATTTTCCAAGTTTGATGAAAACTATAACCACAGGTCCAAGAAGTGCAACAAACTTCAGGCATAATAAATATCAACAAAACCATACATACATCACAGGCACATTGCAAACAAATTGCTAAAAACCAATAATTTATTAATTCTAAAAACAGCCAGAGTGCAACTTGCACTTCTGGAAAAATAGAGCAGATATACAAGGGCTGTCCAGAAAGTATCGAGTAATTGTTAATATGATGAGAATGGTTACATGGCTGGATACTTTCTGGACAGCCCTCATATTTCCCTATTCCTCCCACTAAGGCCAAGTAAAAACCCTAGACATTATATATAAAACAAACATAAGAAGATTCTAAGAATTTGAGAGAAAAAAAAAAACGGCCCAAAAACCAAGGAAAAAAAAAAACCCGAAGAGGGTGAAGTTTTCCTTGGCCC